TCTCACGTTTCGTTAACCTGACCGATCTCACCGTTTCATTCACTCCGGTTAACACCACTGGCCTTTATGTGATCCTTGGGAATATGCATAAGTTAAAGACAGTAAGCATTTCTCATGCTAATCTCACCGGTTCTCTTCCAAGGCACCTGAATCAGAATCTGACCCGTGTTGATTTATCTGATAACAAGCTCAAAGGGAACATTCCAACTTCTCTTACCCTTGTTGAAGATCTTGAATACTTGAACCTTTCTTCAAATGGACTAAATGGGGTGATTCCCACTGAGTTTGGTGACTTGATATCATTAAAAAATCTATCTTTGGCTTCCAATTCATTTTCTGGGTCAATCCCAGATTCTATGTCGGGTATTCCAGGCTTGGATCATGTTGATCTGAGTAATAACCAGTTGAATGGTACTGTCCCAAGGATTTTCTCAGAGTTGAAAGGCTTGAAAGTGTTGAAAGTTGAGAACAATGATCTTCATGGGGTTTTGCCTTTCAATGCTAGTTTCATAAAGAGACTGGATGCTTTGAAGGTTGGTGGGAATAGCAATTTTTGTTACAACCATTATGTTTTGCCATAAAAAATGAAGCTTGGGATTTCTCCTTGTGATAAGCACTGAATGCCACTGTCACCTCCTCCTTCTAAGGATTCTTCTGACAGTGATTCTTCAGATTATGATGATGATGGTGCAGATGATTCAAGTGAAAAGAAGCAACATCATGGGCCAAATAAGGCTGTTATTGGTGTAGCAAATTGCACTTTCTTCAATAGTTTACCTTATTGTTGTCTTAGTTCTCTCAAAATGGTGTGGCTGAACAAAACAGTACTAGATTTTTGGACCAGGGGAAATTGGTGATTAGAGTTTTCATTTATTTATTATTGATATTTTATACACTTTCTTTATGATAAATGGGAAGAAAAAAGTAGCTATATGTGGAATTTTGAGGGGGGGAAATGAAAAAGAAAGAAGCAATGGAATCATATACTGGTGTGCTGTTCTTTTCTGCTGATGTACTGGTCATTTAATGGTTAAAATACAATGACTTATGTGTTCTTCTTGATCTTCAAACATTTGCTTTGTGACACCATTTCGACGATTTTATCCTTTCTGGTGTCTTTCATTGTGCTTTACTTTTATTCAGTTTCTTACCACGTATATTTATCGTTATCTTCTAACATTTCGAATATGTTTCATGTCATATTTGAATAGAATAATCGGATTGATTCATTGAAAACATAGTTAGAAGTGCGATTTACCCAAAAATTACATAACGAGTGTTGGCCTAGTCACCAGAAACCTCTGCAAGAACAACATCCATCCTTGAAATGGTGAAATCGATTTGAATCTCTGAGCACAATTTCTCTACCAGTTTCCTTAGACATGAACTTGGCCATTTCGTGACAGTCGCCGCATACTCGGAGATTCTTGGTTACTCATATCGCTTTTCTCAGTGGCAACGTTAATAACCCGAAAGCCATGGCTAATTTATCACTGTGCCCACAGAGAGCCATTTCTTTTTGCATCTCATCTGCATTAATCAAAGCATACTTGGTTTCAGGGAAATATCCATCTTCCTCCTTAGCTTCTTCAGCAAAGATTCCATCTTTTTGGATTGTGGGTGTGAATTGTTTCCACTAACAAAGAGATTAACTTTGCCCCTTATCTCTATCCAGCTGCAGCCTGGCTTCTTTCTTAGGCCTTTCCTTCCAATTCTCTCTCTCATTCTCTTCACTTCCTCCCACTTTTCTGCCTCGGCATATATATTAGCCAAGAGCACGTAATATCCGGTATTTTCTGGCTCTAGCTCGAAGACGCGTTCTGCAACTTTGTCAGCTAATTCAACATCATGTTAAATCCTGCAGCCACAAAGCAAAGATCCCCAGATTGTGGCATCTGGTGCAATAGGCATGGTCTCGATAAATTCACATGCCTTCGAAAGATTACCGGTCTGAGAAAGAAGATCTACCATGCAGGCATAGTGTTCTAATTTGGGTTCAATGTTGAAATCATTTTTCATTATGTAGAAGAATCGCCAACCTTCCTCAAGTAGTCCAGAACGGCTGCAGGCATACAGTATAGAAATGGAGACTTCATCTGGCTCAGTTCCTGCATCTCACATCTCATTGAAGGTAGTAATAGCTTCATTCCCAAACCCATATATACCGTATCCGGCAATCATTACTGTCCATGAGACTAAATCTTTTGAAGAAATCATATCGAAAAGTAATCGTGCAAGACCTAGAACTCCACACTTTACATATAAGTCGACGAGTGCGTTCGCAACATGTTGATATGAAGAATACCCATTTCTCAATATGTGACCATGAATCTCTTTGCCTCTTTCTAGAGCAGATAGGCTGGCACATGCAGGGAGAATACATGCCATAGTTCTGCTGTCGGGTTTCAGTTCTTCAAGCATTGCAGCAAACGTTTTAAGAGCTTCGTTGGGAAGACAATTCTTCGAGTAACATCCAATCATGGTATTCCAAGAAATAATGTCCTTCACAGCCATCCACGAGAAGACAGAATCTGCATCGTCCATGCTTCCTCATTTAGCATACATATCCATTAGTGCATTACACAAACAAATTCGATTCCATGTCATTTGCCTTTATGTAACCATGTGAATCCTTGCCATTATCCAACGAACCACTTCTAGAACAAGCATGAAGAATGCTTGTGATAGCAACTACATCTAGTTTAACACCTTCCTTCTCCATTTGTTGGAGCAATCAGATGGCTCCATCGGACCGGCCATCCCCGGTGTAGCCTGCTATCATAGAAGTCCATGACACAACATTTCTTTCACCCATCTTCTCGAAAACTCGTAAGGCACCATCGAGATTACCAAATTTCGAATACATATCCGGTAAAGAGTTACTAAAGTTGATTCTCTTCTCAAAACATGATTTCATTGCCAAAGCATGAATAACCTTTCCCAATGAAAGAGTACTCGAATATCGCACAACCGACAAGAACACTTATGATAGTAACCGAATCCACTTCAACACCCAAATGCAACATCTCTTTAAAGATCTCCAGCCCTCTCTGTGCAAGAGCATTTGATACATAGCCACTTATCGTAGAGTTCCATGATATAACATCTCGGTCACGCAATTTATCAAACAGTTCACAGGCACTTTCAGGTCTTCTGCTTTTGAAGTAACACGTGATGAGAGAGTTCACAACACTACTGCAACAACCAAAACGCACTTTTAACAAATACCCATGAACACATTCACCTTCTTTAAGACCTCCTAGAGCTGCTAAACACTTGAGAACACAAGAAAATGTGTAAGAGTTCACTTCAATTCCTTTTTCCACCATCATCTTGAACAAACGAATGCTCTCCCTGAAATCCCCAGTTTTTGCATACTCACTCCCCAAAAAATTCCACAAATAAACATTCTTTTTCTCCAGTCTATCGAAAACCTTCCTTGCTTCCTTTAAATCCCCACAAGTTGCATAATAGGATACAAGCTTGGAGCCCAAGAGTTCATCGAGCACAAAATTATTAGAATCAACGATTGAATTAACTTTTTTTCCATCCGTTAATGATTTTAATCAGCACAAAGCTGTCAAACAAAGCAGTACGTTCTGGGTTCAAGTTCAGTTTTTTTAGACATGAAAAGCAATTCCATGGCATTGTGAAGATCACCCAACTCGCAGAATTGAAGAATTTTGGCATTATAATCTGAAAGATGGAGATCAACATATCTTATCGGCGAAGCGGAGATGCGGATAGGGGTGCAAGAGCTGAAAATTGGAGACAAGAGAGTGGTTTTTGAAGAAGGTTTCTGGATAAAGCAACCATTTTTAGATAAGAATAAGTTTTCTCTACGGTTTTGGTTTTGGTTTTGGTTTAGGGGACACAAGTTTGGAGCCGTTTTAGCCATGGAAAAACAGGGAACTTTATTTCTGAAATGAGAAAGTTTCAAACTTCAACTAAAAAAAGCCACGACCCCGGCCACGGCCACGGTCATGACCCCGGCCACGACTACGATCACGACCCCACCCCGACTCGAGACTGGACGGGACGGGACAGCGGAGGCAACGGTGCGCGAGAGTCCCCCTTGTTCTCTTCCACTCAACAAGGAAGTGGGAAATCCAAGCCTTAAATACTCATTCCCAATAGTGTTTTCAATACTATGTGGGATTGAGAATTACAAACACTTGGGAATCTTTTACACTAACGCAACACATTCTTGATTGTTTCAAACTAAGATCTTACAAATGGCTTGTGAATCTTTTACACTATTACAACACATTCTTTATTGTTTCAAACTCCACGTGAATTTGAAATAGTTAAAATGTAAACTTATTTTGGATTTTTCACTATCGCAACACATTTTAACTATCGCAACACATTTTTCAAAATCGCATTGCGAATCTTACAATCGCGTTGCGAATCTGGAAACTGAGTTGAAAAATTAGAGTTCGCGTTACGATTTTGTTGGTCATTTTGACAAATCCAAAAAAATTGGTTAAAATCGTATATTATAAGACATTTTCGGTCACTAAGATTATTTTCTCTTTTCTTTATACATATACTTTTACAAGGTTAATGTTTCAAAACTGCGGTTGAGAGGCACCGAGTTGAGTCGAGCTGAGATGAGTTTGTCCACCTATTTGCCTTGCATTCCACTCTTTCTAAGCCTTCAACTCACTATATCACCGACACCTACTTCTTAACGTCTCTTTGAATTCTTCCACCTTCTTTGACATTCTTATTTTATCAAACTCTACACCATCGATCCATTTTCCCCCCATTTTTTAATGTTACTTCTTCTTCACCAACAACCGGAACTGAATTAGCTTACGACATATGTTCATATTTGTTGACATGTCTTTGTTAGACGTAAGACAATGGGAAAATAGAGTAAAACAAGTTCATGGTTTCATATTTTCCATAATCATGTCAAGACAATGAATGAAGGGTTGAGGTTTGATAGAGAGCTAGTGTAGCATTAGCAAGGATCGCCGAGAAGTTCACGTCGAATGTCGAAGAATCATAATAACAAGTTATTTTTTAGGAATTTGGGGGCCAATGATCCTTTTATTGGGAGGAAAACATTAGGGGTTGGGAATCATTTTAACAAGGGTGTTCATGTTAGGAAAAGGCACACGTGGTTTCGCCGGAACGTGAAGTCCGTTGCTTTGATGGTTTTGTTAATGGTTTTCGTGTCCTTTCTTGATTCTCTGATGGTGTCGGTTTTCGATTCGATCAATTTTCACAGAAGTTCGACTGTGAGAAACTCCAATGGTGGCGAAGTATGGTAAATTTCCATTAGTACTTGTCGGTTATCATTATGAAACATTGTTTAAATGATGAAGTGAAACCAACTAGTTTCTGATATGCCTAATTCACATGTATGTTAAGGAGGACAGTGTTGCATATGTTCATGAGGAAAGGTCCACAGTTGAGATGTATAGTAGGCTTCTAAATTTGGCTTCAAGTGCACTCGCCAAGGTAGGTTTTTCGACAACTAATTTGAAGGATCCGAGATAAGTTAATTATCGCTCAAATCCGAGTATCTTCATTGATTTTCAGAAGGAGTTTAAGCAAGATAGTCTGAGGTTTTGGGAGGAACCATATCAGGAAGCAACCAAATGGAAACCTTGTGCAGATAAAAGATATCCAACTAGCCTAGGTAAAATACCTTGTGTTTGGTTTAAGATAATGGCAAGTTATCATGATTAAGTCCTTTCACTTTCAATGTCGAGACAGGGAAGCCTGAAGAGAGTAATGGCTATATAATGGTAAGCACGAACGGTGGTTTGAACCAGCAACGAGTAGCAGTAAGTGAACAACTGATCTTTTTCATTGTTCATTACTCATTAAGAACGTTGAATGTTGGTTTCAATGAATAAGTTCACCGGTGAGCTCTTGAAAGATTGAATTATCAGTCATTAAGGCACCTTGCAATGCAGTTGCCGTGGCATCGTTGCTCAATGCGACTCTGGTTCTTCCCAAATTTCTTTACAGCAATGTATGGAAGGATCCTAGGTAACTATGGAACCTTGATCTGAAACTAATATCTCCTTCTTCCTTTCATGAAGTGGCCTCTGTTTATTCACATTTCGCCAACGTTTTTCATGTTCGTATATGAATCTGCAACCGCTGCTGATTCGAATCAAAATGCAGCCAGTTCAGTGACATCTATCAAGAAGACTATTTTATGAGCATGTTGAAGGATGATATACATATTTTGCAGGAACTTCCCCCGCATTTGAAGTCGTTGGATGTTGAAGCCATTGGTAGTCTTGTAAGTTGTCTTTCTTTCTACATTGCATTGAAAGTCTGAAACCTCTAATCTTGCTTTTCGGTTTTTGTTAACCTTGATACAGATTACGGATGCAGATATCCCGAAGGAAGCGAAGCCGAACAATTACGTCAGCACTGTACTTCCCCTCCTTATGAAGAACAAAGTTGTTCACTTCCTTGGATTCGGTAACCGACTCGGCTTTGATCCGTTACCTCCTGATCTCCAGGTGTGTGACACCAGTTGCATGTTTAACTATTGCAGGATGCAACCTTCTATTATATCAGCTCTGTCACTTATATAATATTTGCTCCATTGCAGAGATTGAGATGCAAATGCAACTTCCATGCATTAAAGTTCGTGCCGAAAATCCAAGAAGTTGGTTCACTATTAATCAAAAGGATAAGGAAGTTCAAACATGATGCTACCGAACGTCATCTGGATAAGCAACTGCTCGGAGATTTCGCTCCCGGTGTTTCCTCCAAAGAGGATTATGTTGCAAGAGGCTCATCCAAATACCTTGCATTACACTTGAGATTCGAGGAGGATATGGTGGCATACTCCCTATGTGATTTCGGAGGCGGAGAATACGAGAAAAAGGAACTCGAAACCTACAGAGAGGTCCACTTCCCTCTGCTCATCGAGCGCTTGAAGAACACGAAGTATTGTCCTAACAGCCTTCTGTCATTATTATTTTGCCTGATGTCGTTTCCATGCAAATACCTGATCGATCCATTCCTTCCACCATTGATGCTTGTAGGTAGGGCTGTAAATGAGACGAGACAGATCGCGAGCTACTCGAGATCGACTCGATCAAGGCTCGATAAATACTCGGATCGAATGGACTCGACTCGAGTTCTTAACGAGCCGAAACGAGCTACTCGATATTCAACTCGAAAAGCTCATGAGCAGCTCGAAAAAATGTTATATTATAATTTTAGATTTTTTAAAATTACATTATTAAAAATAAACTATTTATAATTATAAAATTTTAAAATTATATTAAAAATTCTATAATACAACTACTCTCAAATTTTAATTTTTAAAATTAACCATACCAAGTTCAATTGTTACATTGTATATTACTAAAAGAAAAATAAAACCCTAAATCTTAATCTATAAACCCTAATCTATAAACCCTCAACTATAAACCTTAAAGCATAAACCTTAAACCTTAAACCCTAAATTCTAAACCCTAAACTCTAAACTCTCAAATTGAGGAATGAACATTTCAACTGTTTTTGTGGTTGATTATTTTGACTAATCATATTTCCTTATTGGATTTTGGGTGATGGGAATTGTGATAATTGGTGTTTGCCTGTTTGATTGGCAGTTGGTACTTTGTTGAAACCTACGTGTGTCCATATTCTTACTTTTTTGTCGAGATCAACATGATAGTTGAATCTATGTTGCTTCGACTTTTTATTTTTCTTGAGTACTCATGAGTCATGTCTGACACATTGGCTCAAATTTCATTTTTAATTTTATTATTTTCTAGAATAACTGAAAGAAAGAAGGAAATAGTTAACAAAAAGACTTATATAACTGTTTGAACCCAAAACTTTTAAATATAACAATACTCCATTTTATAACTAATGACCACTCAATAAATTAATGATAATAGTATTATTAATTCACAACCCTTTATAAGCGTGACACTATAAAAAACGTTTCACGAGACAGTTTAAATAATTCAACAAAAATTACTAAATATGGTAATATTTATAAATTTGACGCAGTGAAGTTCTTGATTATGGTGTTTTATGGACATAAATGTTTTCGTAAGAAAAATAAATATTTATAAACTTGGAACAGATCAGATTGTTGGATGAAAAGGTGAAACAGATTGCAGATTGTAAAGAAGTTGGTCTAAAGAAAATTTCAAATGGTAAGGTTGAATCAGTGTCCCTAAATCATAGCTCAATGAATGAATATCATAAAATAAAATCTCATGAAAATTCAACAGAATTGCCCATTTCAAGTTTTGGTATCTCCTCTGGTGTTGTTCATGATATTTTTGAAGTTCCAGTTATACATGAAGTTCCTGAAACCAGTGCGGAAGGCAAAATTAACTTGCTTTGACGTGGAAAAGCGTAAGGGTAAGTCGGTTTTGGAAAGCGATGATCGGCTTACAAAGCCGGATTTGATACTGGAAGATATATTGGGATTACCTGTTAAAGATGAAGTTGACTGGATAATGATCTACGCCGAGAGAGAAAAGTGGAGGAAGAAATAAAGTGGAGGAACGTTATGCAATCCCACATCCGTAGCAAACAAGCAGCTCGGGTTGGTAACTTATATAAAGGAAGATGGGGGAGTATTAGTTTAAGCAACTTTGTGCTTGGGCAATGTCGAGCTTCAATTGAGCTCGGAATCGAGCTTTAATCGAGTTTGGAATCGAGCTTCAATCGAGCTCGGAATTGAGCTTCAATCGAGCTCGGAATCGAGCTTCAATCGCTCTCGGAATAGAGCTTCAATAGTTTCAATCGTGCTCAGCTTTAATCGAGCTCTTAATTTTTTTTTTTTTGAGTTTGATCCTTTTTGAGTTCGAGTCGAGTTTCAATATTACATTTCATGTTCGAGTCGAGCTTGATAATTTTAAGCTCGCGAGTTTTCGACTCAAGCTGGCTTTGAAAATTTTCGAGTCGAGCTGGCTTTGAAAGTTTTCGAGTTTGAGTCGAACTCAACAATACTAGCTCGACTCGGCTCGTTTACACCCCTACTTGTAGGCCTGTTTCTCCTGTGGAGTTGCGGAAGTTGGGAAGATGCCCATTGACACCCGAAGAAGCCGCACTAGTTCTTGCCGCTCTCGGTTGGGAAGATGCCCATTGACACCCGAAGAAGCCGCACTAGTTCTTGCCGCTCTCGGTTTCAAGCGTGGAACTTACATTTATCTAGCAGGGTCTCGTATATACAGCGGAAGTTCCCGGATGCACCCTTTTAGCAGTTTGTACCCCAATTTGATCACTAAGGAAACACTGCTCACTCCCATTGAACTTGCTCCTTTTCGAAATTTTTCTTCTCAAGTATTTTCGGATTCAGGCAATCTTTTTAAAAGAACTATTTTCGGGTACATTTTTATAACTTAGAAATGCTTCGGATGCAGCTGGCAGCATTAGATTTCATTGCTTGTGCAACTTCAGATGTCTTTGCCATGACAGACTCCGGAAGCCAACTATCATCGCTGGTATCCGGATTCCGAACTTACTACGGTGATGGACATGCTCCAACCTTGCGACCTAACAAGAAGAGGTTAGCGGCAATTTTTTCAGAGAATAGCTCCATAGGATGGAATACATTTGAAGATAGGATACGAAAGATGATCGAGGAAAGCCAAAGAGTGCGAGTGAGGGGCTCTGGTCGAAGCATTTACCGACAACCAAGGTGCCCGGAATGCATGTGCAAATCATAAGATTTGTTAATAAAATTGCACATATACAAAAAAGAGAAGAATTATGATTAATTTCAGATACTGAATTCCTCTAAGTCAAAAAGTGCATTGCTACATACGATTGACAGTTCTTTGCAAAGTCACTTTTGCAAACACTGTTGGAGACAGCAGCAACCCAACATTACATAAGAAAAAAATCATTTAATTTAATAACCGAATCGATATCGGATTAAACCCAAGTCAAATATACATATGGCCGATTCATCTCGTTGCGATGATGATCTATAATGGGGGGAAGAAACGATTTTGATTTAGATTGAAAGGGAGTGTAGAAAACTCTTCACTCCGGGCATCGCCTCTGAATGATCGGAAATTAGCCCACCATGGCATTCCTCCATCTCTGGCACTGTCTTTATAGTCAAGTGTGTTATCTAAGAGTACGGAAACAATCAATGCAACAGTCGGAGATGAAAAGAAGATGGTATTAAGGAAATCATTGAACTGCATATGCCAAACATAGCACAATACAAGTCAATGGTATGTTGATTAGCAGAAGAGTTGAATGAGAAACGCGCTATGGGGACACATTTAAAACTCACCCATTCAGCTCGGGTACTAGCAGGACCATGTAGAGCTTTGGCAGTGTATTCTCGAAAGTATTCGGGAACCGATAAACCTAAGAACAATGCCACGCCGACGATAAAGAGATTTCACATGGAGTTCATGCTCGTAAATTGCAAGAATGTCATAAGCAAAACAACATATAGAAAATAATATTCCTATGGGGTTATACAAGAATGTTATTGTTAAAGGTATCAGTACTCACCAATGTAACCGAACAAAACACAATACACAGCAGCAAATACGGTGAAAGGTATCGATGCAAACAAAGCTCCAAATTTTCCTGCAGAAAGACTTCAACACTCACCTAACATCGAAAAGAATATCATAAAGCCAGCTGAGATTTGAATGACCCTGCGGCTTCCAACACGAGTGCTTCCGAGAAGCCCCACGTTTTCTCTGTTGTTTTACCAGGAATTAGTATAGTACAGTAGCATAAATCGATAATTTTCCGAGCAAGAAAGCAACAATACTTACACAGAGACGGTTGAACCAGTAAGTGTTCCAAATAACCCATCCAGAAGGATCCCAATGCCTTGCCAACCAATACCACGGCTAAGAATATGGGCCGGAGATGGCGTGGCACTGGCTAGAAGTGCGGCAGCCTTGTAAGCTCCTGTTGACTGCCAAAGCAAACATTCATTAGCTTTGAATCGCTAAATAACGTCTATTCGATTTATGAATTTTAGTAAGTACCTCAATCAATGACACTAAAACAGCAGCCATCATTCCAGAAGAATGACAGCATCAAAAGTAGGAGCACCCCATTGAAGAGGATAAGGTATCTTTATCCTGAATGAATAAATTTCAGTCAGAAAGGCAATACTAAGAAGTATTCCATGGATTCGACAAAAGCAAACATAAATATCGACCGACCATGGAGCAGAAGAAATGAGGTTGGCCTTGTCGGTTCTGCAATTTAATTGGGTTAACTCCGGACGATGTTTATATGTGCCACTTAGAGTCAAGATATGTGCATATGCCCAAATTACCGTGATTGATATGACGAGAGCAAACCGCTCCAGTATCGGCACTTGTTTTATCAGAAAGTTCTTCAAGTACTGTTTTTGATAGAAAATAAACACAACACATTACATTTTTCATCTTAGTATTTCCATACGGTATACAAGAACTTGATGTAGCAGCATTTAGTGCAAACAATATTAGTCCATTACAGTGCTTGAAGGAATGGTAGTACCCGGGAGAAGGCTATAAATAGAATAAGCATAGGGAGGCCGATTTCGATGAAGCGACCAACCTGATGGTGAGTCGATAACAAGTTAAAACAACACCAGTGATATTATAGGAAGAAAAATTATCATTCAAGGGTTCAGAAAAGCCTCAGGGTTTTATATTGTACCACGGGGAAGCATCTTGTCAAATAACCCAAAGCCAACTAGTGCGATAACTGGAACCATTCCAAGGGGGCTAAAGAACCTATAAAAAGGAAAACAAAAAACACCATTCAGTTAATAGTTTCTCAAATTATGTCTCTCCATAATTTTGATACAGAAACTACATTCAAGATCAAAGTTGCACCTGGTGCAAATAGCCCACATTTGAATGTATCCGAAGATAATCTGTATGCTTGATGCTACTATTAGTACACCTTGGACAGCTCTCATAGTATATAGAAATCTCTGCATACAAAGATTGAACTTTATGAGAAAAGCGAAAAAATTAAAGAATTGGGGTAACCATATGGTTATCCTCAAAACTCAGCAAAGAAGTACCATGAATTATTGATATGATGGGAACCATGAAGGCGTAAGAACAGCCTACGACGGTAGGTAGTCGAGTTCCAAACAGTGTTTGTAAAAGTGTATTAATCCCTTCAACAAATAGCAGTGTCTGAACCACTCTTACTTTATCATCCTAAACCAGTTTAATGCGGAAATGATAAAAAAATCAGTAACAAATAATCTAAAAATAAATAAGAATATTGTGATTCATTACATGTGCAAAGTGACTTACATCAGTTCTTCCCATCAAAGGGACAAGAAAAGAAGGGATCATCACAGCAGTTCCTAAGGCCAAAATATAATGCTGAAATCCCAAAGCTATAGCTTCTGCTTCCACAAGCAAAACAGAGGGTTACAAAAACAGCACAAACAAAACAACTGAAAAAGTTTAGAAAAAGAAAAAATGATCACCCCAAGAAGGTTTTGAGTCAATGCAGTACTCCAGGCCTTGAAGTTGGTCCATTGGTGGGTGGCTTATTTCTTCAGGTTTTGGTTCTGCCATAGCTTAAAAATTCGTACTTTTGGCTTCTTCTTTTTTGCCTCCGAAACTCTAGTAGGGTGTTCACAAAATGATCAACAAACCAATTTTTAAGCTCAAACCAGACTAAAAACAGCAAAAAATATACTCAAGATCAAAACTTTAGATTGAATGTTCAAATGGGCATTCACAAACTGAATCAAAGAATCGATCTCTAAGCTCAAACCAGAGTAAAAACAGCAAAAAAATCCACTCAAGATCAAACTTTAGATTGAACGTCAACAGAAGAAGAAGGGAAAACAGGATATATTCTGCCCACCAAAGGCTTTTCCACTCTCTCTACTTTACTTACTGCAGAGAGGTTTGAGTTTTGTTTTAACCCTTTTTCACAGCTTTGGATTTATATATAGAAAAAGTTTCCGTTAACTTTATCAGGTATTCCGAAATTACCCCTTAAGCAACATGCCAAAAGCACCCAAAGGCCAAATGTGACCGGTGGTCTCATTATTAAATTTTTGTAACTCATCTTCTTCGATACTATACTTTCACCATATTTATTATTCACCCAACCAAGACCAGTGTATATATGAAACTGAAATTGTACTTGGTTTTGTGTATCAATAAATGGAGAATGACTTTCTGCTTTGTATTGTTCACGTCTTTATTTTACTATGATTGGTCGATAACAGACTATTGACTCCATTAATAGGTGGTGGCATCACGGTTGGTCAGTATCAACTATCATCTCAAATAATCAGTGGTGGCATTACCATTGGCCAATTTCGACTAATCGGAGACATGTTTTCTTCTTCCGGTGGTAATAGGTTTGGTGTTTTTTCCTCTCATTAGAGTATACTTTTTTCTCATTAGAGTAAGAGTAATAATCGGAATTCTTTTAAAGGAAAAAATACTTCTTTCAATTGGATTGTTGGCCTTGGGTGTTTCAAACATAGAAGGATCTGAATTCGAGACAGAGATGTATGCAGGGAACACAGTACGATTCTCCAACGTCTCTAATTTTATGCCATAGGCACAAGACAAGCACGTCATAGATCTTTGGACCCTTTAAATGTCACTTTTTCCTTTCCATATTGGCAGCCAATTTCATGCATAGTACTAGACGTCTAAATAGAGTATTGTAGGCTTAGATCAACCAGCATGGAATTGTTCTAGCTTAACCAAGAGCTCTTGAAAATATAACAATGTTAAATACTTGACGGGGAGTGTTACCACCCATAAGATTCTATACAGCTCGATAGGATTAATCTCTGTTTAAACCATTAAATGAGTAAGTGGGGCATATGTATGTTAATACAAGAAAAACATAGGGTGGGCCATGTATTTAGCACAAAACAAAGCAGGCTTTCAAGTATTCTTGTATCAGTACAGGATTATGTGGCTAAAATTAGGTAATAAGTGATCTACAAGGTACAATTTAAGTGTATAAATTTACCATAAGCATTACTGGTTCTCAGCCTCAAAACAGTTATTGGGAACATTTGTACCAAAACTAAAAGAAATGACCTCAAGATCTTCTATCCAACCTCTTTTCACTGGATTTCTTCTCTTGTGCTTCAAGCCGTTTCTGTTGTCTGCCATTTTACAACAGAATGAAATCAGTGCTGATTACTAAGCAGTAAGCACTGGCTGTAAGTTGTTCGTTTCAATAAGTCAATCATGCGGCCATGAAAAAGAGTCTAATCCAGATTAAAAAGGAGGGAAGACATGAACAATTTTCCATCAAGTTATAGGACTTACGCAAAAGCTGTGTACCCACTTACAGCATTAGCAGCTGATAAAATAACCGTATGTGCTCCAGCAGCAGATAGAGAATGCTGTCCCCCAGCAGGTAGAGGATTTCTTCTATCAGTATCCACCTGGAAGTTAAATAAAACAATGAAAAAGTTAGGTCCATGATATCATAGATGAGTTATTTGGAACAGAGATGCACTGACAAGTTAGAACCTTATCCCACTTTGATTTCTTGTTTTGTCTACCATCACGAACAATGTTGTCCACTGCATTTGGAGCTGACGGCAAGCCACCAGCACCCACAACTAAAAAAATCAATATCATTCAGTATAAGAACACCATCGCACAATCTCATGATACACACTCGTATAAGAAGTAGACACCCGTTTTTATCCGGGTTTTTTTTCCGTTATTTTATTATTATTATT